AACGATCACAAGTGAGCAGCGGGAGCAGATCAAAGCTGCCACGTCTTGCTCTGCGGCAGTCAGGGAGCGGAACCAGTGGGGCGCCCGGATGCTGACTGTCACTGGCCCAGCCAACGGGCTGCAAGAAGCCCATAGCATGGCCGTGAAGTTCATAGAGGAGAACGGTGAAGATAAGGGTCGTGCAGATCCTGCTGCTGCCAGTGCCAAGAATGAAAGCAAGAAGAAGTGGCATGGTTCCTGGCACTCCTGGTCCACTTGGGATGCTGACAAATGGGTTCCGAGAAGCGAACATGAGGAGCTGCAAAACCGCCTCAAAACAGCGGAAGGGACCATTGCTGGTTTGCAGTGGCGTATGAGCTGCTGGGAAAGCTGGCACTACTACCAAGGGCAACCCAGCTACGGCTATGTGTACCAGAGTGCAGAGGCTCGCCCTGCACGTGAGCCCCGCGCAGAGCCTTGCCCGGGAAAAGATGAAAGAGATGAAAGAGACCGCACCCGAGACCCCAGCAGGAGCTATGACCGACGTGACACCGTGTCACCTTCGGAAGAAAGCAACAGGACCATCCTGCCTGAAGAGACACACACAAAGGAGTCTCATGCCAAAAAGCGCAAGAAGAAGAGGAAGGACCGCCAGCGATGGTCTGAGGATACGGGGCATGGGGATCAGCATGATCAGCGGCATTGGCAGAGGAAGAAGTGAGGCTCGCCCATCTCTTGGCACGAGGCTCGCCCGTGCACTAAAGAATCTTGACACTAGCAGAATGAGCACTAGCGTGAAAATGGCTGGCACTGGCAGCCTTAACTTTCCCAAGTTGACCGTTGAATTTCGTCGTTCTGTCTTCACAGCGCATGGGCAAGTTGTGGCAATTTGTGCTTGTGCATGACCGCAGCCATTTTAGCAGGTTCTTTTCCAGGAAGAAGCTGGAGGAAGGCTCGTCCTCTTCCGTGCAAAAATGGAGGAAGGCTCGTCCTCTTCCGTGGCAAGAAGGCTTGTCCTCTTGTTTCTGATATGAAGAGAAAAAGGCCCAATTTTGACACCTTTGTTCCTCCGACTGTGACTTTGAGCGTGGCGGCACGAACATCTGGGGGAGACAGAAACCAGCTCCGTAAAGGTATCATCAGGCCTTTGCTGGAGGATTCCGTGTACGGGCACATTCTCCAAAAGTGCCCTATCCAATTCACCAACGGCGAGGCATATGAATGGGAATACATAAACCCGTTTGCTCTCATTCACCAATATACTTCAGCCCGACCACGTTTTGGTGATATGCTGCGGGGGGCTGGGTCCGTACGAATCTCTTTTTACATGGATGAAACTACACCAGGCAATGTGCTTCGCCCAGATCATGGTCGATCACTGGCGTGCTTCTACTGGACATTGATGGAACTACCGTCCTGGTTTCGGAGCCGCCACTGTGGCTGGTTTTATTTCGGGCTTTTTCCTCTGTCGCTGGTGGAGCACGTAGCAGGTGGCTATTCTTTCCTGTTTGCCTTCATGGTGAAAACATTCTTTGGCAAAGGATTGCTAGCATGGGATTTCGACAGGACAGGCATTTGCTGCAAATCAAGTGGTGGAGACTTCATTTTGAAAGCGCGTTTCGGGGCCCTACTTTCAGACGAGAAAGCAATGAAAGAGCTCTGGTGCACGAAAGGTGCTAGTTCCTACAAGCCTTGCCACCTGTGCAAGAATGTGATGGGCCGGGTGGACCTGCCAGACCGCGGCTACTTGGTGCACTACACTTGCACAGATTCAAGCCGCTTTGATTTGCATACTGCTGACAGTTTCCGGACTATGGCACAGAATCTGAAGCTTGAAGCTGGCAACCTGAGCAAAAAAGACTTCGAGCGATTGGAGCAATCTTACGGGCTTGTTTTCGACCCTCTTGGCATCTTGTGGTGTGAAGATTTGGGAGGCATTGTCAACCCTGTATCACACACCTACTGGGACTGGATGCATATATTGATGGCCTGTGGTGGGATTGCTCAGTATGAGTTCAATCAATATGCTAGGCGCCTTTGCAGTGCTGGCGTGTCCTTGCGGGCCCTTGACGATCTTGCTGCGGAGATTGTGTGGCCAAAGGGTGCTTATTGGTCAAAGAAATATTTCCAAAAGCGTGTGGTGGATAAAGACGGTGCCCATTTAAAGGCGTTTGCCAATGAGCTTTTCCAGTTGACGGACATTTGGCGCTTAATACTCCAGCTGGTGGTGCGCCCGGCTGGCATCCTGGAGCTGGAAACCAGAAGTTTAGAGAGCATGATGAAAATCATTGACATTTTGTCAATGCAGGAAGAGGCGTTGCCTCTTGTTGGTGACTTGGAAATCGAAATTGCCCAGCACCACGCTTGGTTTCTAGAACTTTACCCGGATTGCAACAAGCCGAAAACACACTGGCTACGACATGTTCCGTCCTTGTTCAGGGAGTTTGGCTGCAATCTCAGCTGCTTCAGCCCTGAGAAGAAGCACAAGGGAGTGAAGCAGCTGGCGCTTTTGATTTCTGCCAACGTTGAGAAAGGAGTCTTGTACCGCGCAGTTGCAGAAAATTTCTCTTCTTTCTCCAATGATGAAAATATGCTGCGCCCTATTTTCCTGGAACGGGCGCAGGACATGGAAGCTGAGTGGCTGCGGGCATTCTATCCGGACATGCAAGAAGCGAAGGTTTCAAAGACACTGCGTTTTGAAGGTGGACGGGTGTCAGCATCAGATATGCTATGGTTTCCGGCTACAAAGCACCTTGCTCAGGCATCCTTCTTTTTGCAGGTTCGGCTTTTGAACTCCTCTGAGTTCTTGATCCACGGGGACTTATATCAGCAGGTTCGGGACAGCAATACTTTTCGAAGCACTGGCGTTGCCAGGCTTTTTGTTTGCACTAAGGACATGGTGCCAATTTCTTTCTGCAAACGAAATGGCGGAATTTGTCCTTGTGTGAGGCTCGCCCACACGAACTGAGCCAGGGCATTTAGCTGAGCGAGTAAATGGCACTGGTCGACCCCTGTATATATGTATATATATAACTTTGTACATACCCTATATGTAAACTTTTAAAATAAACATATATATATTATAATATAATTATATATACTATTTTGTCAGACATGCAAATGTCTATATCTATGTACAACATATAAACCAGTTTAAACCCTATGTGCTTTGTGTTAAGGAAGATCCAACCCTTCATACTACCCCTCACCAGTTCATGCCAAATCTATGGAGTGCTTCTTTGGGTCACAGTGCTGTGCTTGTTTTGCAGAAGGTATGCACCAACATGCGACCACGTCAGTTCTTTGTAGTCGCAGCAGCCATATATACCCACAAACCCGAGATTTGACTTCAGATCTTTGAAAGGCTCGCCTTCAATCTTTGCAAGGCTCGCCTGCAGAGACTTGCGCCATGAGCGCCGCTAGCGAAGTGCCTGCTACTGCCACTGCAGAAGCTCTCCCCGAATCTGCGGCCAGTGAAGCTACCGAAGCGGCTTCTCCAGCTGAGACGGCAACATCTTGTGCAGAAACGCCTAGTGGCGTAGTTCCTCTGGACAAGGTGGAGACCGGCCCTGGACTTCCAGCAGAAAATTTGTGTCCCACCTGCAGGAAGCCTGTCTCTGAGGAGAATGGTGTGGTTGTGGCACGGGCAGTGGGGAAGACAGCTACTTCTTTGCGCTGCAGGGCATGCCACAATTTAAAAAGTAGGATCAACCGGGTGTTGAGCCACTATGGCTCATTGGCCCAGGATTGGACGAAGGTAACTGAAAATGAGAAGAAAGAGTTTTTACAAGAAGTACAAGGAGCAGGCGGGACCGGACCTTCTGACCAGGCTCCAGGAGACAGTGACGGAAAGCAAGAAGACCAGCAGCGCCGTCTCCTTCGAGGGCACCGGCGATTTCCTGGACGAGATAGATTTGGAGGAGAAGTACAAGAACAAGCCAGATCAATTGGCCGCTATTAAGGCCAACACCCGGACCTACTTCTGTCCAGTTCGACAGGTGCAGCTTTTCGAGGATGTGAAATATAAGCGCACGGCTGTGGAGACCGAGGAGTACGCGAAGGTGCAGAAACGCAAGAGGCAATCAATTCCGCTTGAACAAGGTGAACGTGATGAGACGGCTGCAGATTCGAGCCAGTGCAAGAAGGGCAAGAAAGAAGCAGCCAAAAGTGAGCTGCCGAAGTTGAAGGCTGGAGGCAAGAAAAAGATTTCCAAGAAAGTGGAACTGATGAACGCAAAGAAGCTGCAGCTGATGGATTGGAACTGCAAAGCGCGTGGTGACAAAGTCAAAGACTTGGTGCCCGGCTACGTCGTGAAGGCTTCCACAAAGCTGGTGGATGACGCTGTGGCCTTTGGGGTTGAATGCGACAGCATTCTTGAAAGTGGCCATGGCGACGCAGATGAGGTCATCAAGAAGGCAGACTCTTTCATGGAGCAGCTGACAGAGATGATGGGCCGCGTCAAGTGCCAAGTGGATCAGGCGCATGCTTTTGTTGCCACTGGTGCGAGCGGCCAGGAGTGAGGCTCGCCCGCTCAACTTCCAGAGGCTCGCCCTGAAGGCGGCAAATTTTGACAGCACGGCGATTCCTTAAGAGGAGAAAGGAAAATATCCCGTTCTTTTTCTTTGCACAAAAAAAAATCAAAAAACGAAACATTTTGGCCGTATCGGGGCCGTATCGAGGCCGTATCGGGGCCGTATCGGGGCCGTATCGGGGCCGTATCGGGGCCGTATCGGGATGACTTTGGATACCCGGCCTTATTGGGACCATTCTCTTTCAAAAAATGAAATGTGAAAGTCACGGTCCTGTTTTTTGGTGGCGCTCCGCGTGTGCAACTTCCACTGTGTATGAATTGGGAATGGGCAAAATCACACGAGCTCAAAGGCCAGCCTTTGAAGCGTGACAAAAATATAAGTGCAAGCCTACCAGTAAAGAACACAAACAGCGTCCAACCCCCGGCCAAACACGTACTCCCCAGCGCGCACTTGGCTCACAAAGTCTCTGTGAAAGGCTCGCCTTCACCCATGGAAAGAAACGCTCCTGCACGCACGACTCAGACTGAGATGGCTGGAGGTCCCCCCCAGCTAGCTGGAGGCTCGCCCCAGCTGCAGACATGCGACGGCTCGCCCCAAAGAAAGCGAAGGAGCGGAGGTGAAGAAGCGCCGCGCAAGCAGCAACGCAGCTCCAAAGATTTATCCCCTGTTTCAATGGGCGCTGAAACTTTGACCCTCGACTTTTGGGAAGACAGAGACATAGAGGTGGGCGAGGACACCCAGCAATTCCCTGAGAATCCATCGATCGACTATGAGCTTGCATACACAGACTGGATGTTGTCCCAGTTGTCTGAAAAGGATGGCACGTGCAAGTGCAAATGGGTAACCCATGGCACTCGCTGGCATCGATGGGTTTGCTTTCTCTGCAAATATCCGGGCCCCCAATGAGGCGCTTTCCTCCAGAGCCCCCCCGAAACGCACGAGCCATGAACGGCGGCAGTTAGTTTAATTAAACCGTGAGGCTTGCCCACGTGATGTGCAGTGCAATCTAGTATATGATGCAAATTTTGCAAGAAGAGAAAAATGAACAATCTGCTTTTCTTTGGGCTTACAAGGCTTTTTCCAGCTTGTCAGCTTTGGCGCATGTCAACAGGTCGACTTTCCCAACCACAATGTGCATTTTGACAAATGCAACCGGAAAATAGCTGAAGCATCTGTTTTTCTTTGGCCCACATCTGCGCACATACTTACAAACACCACAGTGTATATACCCAGCAAGCACGGCTCAAGAAAGCATTTGCTGTTTTGGTTTGAAGATGGGGTCGGAGGTTTTAGTTCCCGAACCCAATGACTGGGAAACAGAATTTCCACAGCTGAGGCTCGCCCAGCCAATCCACATAGCAATGCCATGCTGCGGAATAGACGGTGCTGGTTGGTCACTCCGAGCTATGGGGGTGCCCTTTACACCAAACAACGTATACGACCTGGAGACGCGATACAAGGAGTACTGGCAGGGCATGGTTGAAGAAGGCTCGCCTCTTCATTTCGGAAAGCACAATGGTGACATTGTCCAGGTCCAGCTGTCGGACTTGGAGCGCCCGGTGCATGTGCTTTGCAGTGGCCCGCCATGCCCGCCTTGGGCAGGAAATGGCAACAAGAAAGGTGTGGAAGACTTCCGAGCAAAAGCTTTTCTGGCTATTGTGAATATAGTGGCTTCGCTAGCCAAGTGTGGTGAGCTGCAAGCAGCGATCTTGGAAAATGTCCAAGGCATTTTACACCGCCAAGGTGGCGAAGAAAGTTTCATGTCAAAGCTTCTGCACATTTTGCAAGAAGAAGTGCAGGAATTTCTCTGGCAGGTGGACACCCTCAAGGCGGTGGACTACAAGCTAGCACAGGACAGAACGCGTGTGTTCTTGCGTGGGATCCGGAGCACGTTGTGCCCAAGCGGGGCGGCGCCACCTCCACTACCCCCATTTGGCCACAGAGTGTTGACAGACTTTCTCGCGTCAATGCCTTGTGTGGACCGTAAGAAGCTCACAAAGTGCATGGCCCAAAACTTGAAAGACAGCCAAGAACAACTGCGGAAACTTTTGCAGGAAGGTCGCCTCGTAGAGACAGATGTTGTCTGCTTCCCACTGGACCGCGCAGATGGCAAAACATACAAGCGGCATATCAGCGTCAATCGTACACCAACATTGACCACCTCGAATTCATACCTGTTTGTGTCAGACATGAAGGTGGGCCTCCCAGATCAGCAACGGACACACTTCCGTTTCTTGCATCCGCATGAGCGGTTTGTTTTGCAAGGTTTCAACGTGGAAGTCGCCGAACAATTCGCTTCCAGCCAAGCCTTACAAGTCAAGGCAGCAGGAAATGCCTATCCAGTGCCACTCATTGGAGCAGCAATGGCCCCATTGCTGGCTGCCTTCGGTAAGCTGCCCAGAAAGGAGAAAGGGAGCTGGAGTTCCCCACGCGTTTCCATGAGCGTTTGGCTGACGCCATGTACGGTGCTGGGAAGAAAACCAAACCAAAGAAGGCAGGACATAAGGTGCTCAAACGACCGGCTGCACACCAAGCATCAGAGAAACCTGCAGACGAAAAATTGGACAAAACCCACCCTGGGCCCCATGACAAGGAGCAACATGACGGTGGTGGGGCACAGCCTTTGGGTGAAGAACGTGCGGGGCCTTCCACCAAGAAGCGACCTGCCAGCACGGCAAGCATCGGAAGGCCCTGTCAGAAACCAAGACTCCCTGCCGCATGGCGCCTGCGTGGCTTTCTTTCTTCCTCAAGCTCTGACTCCGGCTGAATGTGCAAGGCTCGCCTGCACCCATCATACCAGTTTTGAAGCAAGGCTCGCCTGCTGCGATGCGTAACCACGACGGATCCACAACTTGCGCTAAAAACAATAACTTGCAAGTGTTACGCCCAGAAGCCCGTTGCACTCTCACAGGTGGGCAAAGATTGCATGAGTTTATTTCCTCTTCCACGCTGGTTCAAGCTGACCACGGGTTGCTGCGAGGCTTGCCCGCAGAAACATTGAGAGCGAAGCTTTTGCTTGTGATTGTAGGGACAAACCACATGGCTGAAGCCCGCTTTGATGGGATGCTTGACTACTTCGCTGCTCTCCAAAAGAGTTGCGGGGGGTTCCTTGAAAAGGACGCCTTAGACCCCCTGTTGAAAAGCTGCATGCTGGATATTGAACGCGCCCCGCCCATAACCATAGAAGCAGGGGCCAGCATGCTTAGAAAGCTTGAGAAAGCTACCGTGCCCCAGGCATGGCGTGAAGCTTTAGTGAAACTGGTGCAAGCCAAGGTTCAGACAGGCGCAGAGAACAGCTGCAACCAAGGGAATAAGAAGAACAAGGAAAAACCAAGGCAGACATGTTTGCACTTGGACAACTATTTCTTGAAGAAGGACTGGGAAAAACTGGCTTCGGATGGGTTGACTGACAAGGTCAACTTTGCAGCGCAAAGAATGGCAGCCCTGGGTTTGCTGAACCCAACAGAGCCGACTGCGGTGCATGCAGTCGCAATTCTGTATTTGACGTCGCACAAAGGGACCCTGGAAGAACTTAACATCAATGGCGTCCATGCTTTGAATACGGTGCGGGATTTGAAATCTGTGCTCAGAGGATTGAAAGGCTTTACGCAGTCTGGGATCACCAACTACCCAATGGATCCTGCAGAATTGCCCGGCCCCATATTCATGAAAGCGTTTGGACAAGAAAAGCCTGAGCCAAGCCGTCTGGATCCTCACGCGCTTGGATGGTTGCAAGTTGTGCTACCTGCAAGGGACACGCACACATCAGTGCGAGGTGCCTGGGGAAAGCGAACCTCGCGACTACGTACTGGCAACAACTTCCAGGAGATGCTCATGAATGCCATGAGCAACCCTGACATGGCAGCAGCTTTCGCCAGCATGATGAGAAACAATTCTGGAGTGCAGCTGAACATGACACGCCGGAAACAGTTGATGCCAAGCGCTGCCAACCACTCATGTTGGCAAACGGGCCAGCTGCTTCTCACAACTTGGCAGGCAAGCAAGACCCAAAGGATGAAGTCGACCTCGAGACATCGCTTCCAAGTAATGAAGAACCTAGCATCAAGGCTCGTCCTGGTGCAAACGAAATCAGCAAGGCTCGTCCTGCTGTAAGTGAAACCAGCAAAGCTCGGCCTGCTGCAGGCGAACCCTGCGAAGCTCTGCCTGCAAAGGACAGCAAGGAATTGCCTCCGCTGGAACCCAAAAGCGTAGATGCCATGTCGAATGACATCTTGGCAGCTATTGGCGGCCAAAAAAGAAAGAAGACCGCTGCTGAACAGACCACTGAGGGCGATGACGTGCCCATGCCGAAGGCAAAAGCCAAAAAGCAAACCAAAGGGAAAGGCCAAAGCCACAGCAAAGAAAACATCTGCTGTGGCCAAGGCCAAGAGTATGCCTCCCAAGACCAAGAATGCTGCGCCCAAAGCAAGGCCGAAGAAAAAGAAAGAGGTCTTGCCATTCCCTGGGACAGCTGCGCATGAGCCCGTTCGCCACAAGCACGCCACAGTTTACATATGCCTCAAGTCCACCAACTACAGGGTCAAACTTGATGGTGAGAAGAAGGACAAGGCCTTCAGCTGGAAACGCCAGGATGCGAAGGAGGCATGGGTGCAGGTGAAGGAATACATCCTGAACTTGGAGTGAAGGCTCGCCTCACCAACTTGGTGGAGGCTCGCCCCACCATGGCTGAATCTGTCACCCAGTTGACGGAAGCTATGCCCACCTATCGCCTGAAGAGAGGGCTTGTTTCACAAAGCACAGCCCGCAAAGTCCAAAAATTGCATCCTGATATTTGGCCTGCTTCTTTTTGGAGACGGGTTGTTCCTGTTTTTTTGCTGCTGCATTGAAAATTTGAGTGGTCCTTTTTGTGTTTTTTGCAACCTCCAGTGTGTTTTTCAATATGTCCTTTGGCCTGAATGTTGGCCCCTCGTGTGTGTTTTTTTGGAATCCCTCGTGGCCTTTTTGTGGGACCCTCGTGGCCATTTTCCTGATCACTAGGATTTGCTGAGCTAAGTGGTTATAACTCCGGCTAATTAGTTAGCTGCGAGGACCCTGCTAATTGTTTGTAAATGGTTATAACCTTCGTTATAAAACAGCTAAACGCAAAAAGCGCCAAAGGTTTTCCCCCGGGAGCTGATTTTTTTCGAAGGTTTTTCCTGCTAGAGCCGCGGGAAACAGAATCCGTCGAAAAATGCTTGTAGTTTTCTGGATTCAAAGGAAATTGGTTTGGAACTAGTTCGTCCTCAGAGCATGGTGTTTCCCCCAGGAGGTGATTTTTTCGCAAGCGATTTTACTGTAGCCGCCGCAGCACCGAATCTGTCCAAAAATATTGTTTTTTCTAGGATCAGGATCCGACGACACGGTAGGCAAGTTTTTTGCGCGGGTTTGGTTGGAACTAGCTCAGTCCTTCAGAGGGCATGGGGTTCAACCGGGATTGGGTGCTTTGGTCGAATCTATTTTACTTGCTAGCCGCCGCAGGAACCGAAGTGTCGAAAAATGTTTGTTTTTTTCTAGGATTTCAGTCGACACTTAGGCAGTTTTGGCGTGGTTTTGGAACTTAGCTCGTCCTTAGAGGTTTGCCGTTTCCCACCCGGGAGGTGATTTGTTATTTTTCGAAGCTGTTTTAACTGCTAGCAGCCACAAGGCAACAGAATCGTCGAAAAATGATGTTCTTTTCTAGGAGTTCCAGACGAGCCGTTACAGTTTTCGGCGTGGTTTTCGGAACTAGCCTCGTCCTTCAGAGGCATGGTGTTTTCCCCCCCGGGAAGCTGATTTTTTCGAAGCTGTTTAATGCATACAGCCGCAGACAACAGAATCTGTCGAAAATGCTGTTTTTTCCCGAGAGCGCCTGCGAAGGGTTCTTCGTAAAAAAGCAGCCGTTATACTAGATCTTCACACCTTCACACCTGCAGATCTAGATCTTCACACTCTCACATCTGCCGATCTACATCTTCACACCTTCACATCTGCTGATCTAGATCTTCAGACCCTCACATCTGCAGATCTAGATATTCACACCTTCACACCTGCAGATCTAGATCTTCACACTCTCACATCTGCCGATCTACATCTTCACACCTTCACATCTGCTGATCTACATCTTCACACCTTCACACCTGCAGATCTAGATCTTCACATCCTCACATCTGCAGATTTAGATCTTCACACCCTCACATCTGCAGAGCTACATCTTCACACCTTCCCACCTGCAGATCTAGATCTTCACACCCTCACACCTGCAGATCTAGATCTTCACACCCTCACATCTGCAGATCTAGATCTTCACATCCTCACACCTGCAGATCTAGATCTTCACACCCTCACATCTGCAGATCTACATCTTCACACCTTCACACCTGCAGATCTAGATCTTCGCACCCTCACATCTGCAGATCTAGATCTTCACACCTTCACATCTGCAGATCTAGATCTTCACACCCTCACATCTGCAGATCTAGATCTTCACACCTTCACATCTGCAGATCTACTCTCTTCCACCCCCTCACGCCTGCAGATCTAGGATCTTCACCACCTTCAAATGCTGCAAGATCTCGATCTTCACCACCCTCACCTCTGCAGATTACATCTTCCACACCGTCAATCTTGCAGATCTCCTTGTCGCTCTCTTCTATCTCTCTTAAGGCGGGGGGCGGTGCCGCCGGAGCCGCACGACACGCAACCCTTCGCCCGAATGGACGTTGGACGTTCCCCAACAAAACCTAGGTCAAATTGTGCTTTTGAAGCGTCCCGGCAACCCGTTTGCACGAAAATGGGACGTTGGACGGTAAAAAACTGCGAAAAATGCTGACTTTGACGCGTCCGCACAAACCCTTCGCAAGAAATGGAGTGGGCACGTCAAAAACTGAGGAAAAATTGCGACTTTGATGCGTACAAGCCGCCACCCTTACGCACGAAATGGACGTTTTGGACTCAAAAACATGAAGAAAAATTGCCGACTTTGAAGCGTCCCAGCGCAACCCTTTCGCACGAAATGGACGTTGGACGTCCAAAACCTAGGTAAAATTGCGATTTTGAAGCGTCGCGCGCAACCCTTTCTCACGAAATGGACGTTGGACGTCAAAAACTGAGGAAAAATTGCGACTTTACTTGGTCAATCGCAACCCTTTTGCTGGACGTCAAAAACTGAGGAAAAAATTGCGATTTTACTTAGTCAATCGCAACCCTTACGCACGAAATGGACGTTGGACGTCAAAAACTGAGGAAAAATTGCGATTTTACTTGGTCAATCGCAACCCTTTCGCACGAAATGGACGTTGGACGTCAAAAACTGAGGAAAAATTGCGACTTTACTTAGTCAATCGCAACCCTTTCGCACGAAATGCACGTTGGACGTCAAAAACTGAGGAAAAATTGCGATTTTACTTAGTCAATCGCAACCCTTTCGCACGAAATGGACGTTGGACGTCAAAAACTGAGGAAAAATTGCGATGGACGCTTTCGTTTGTGTAAAAGTGTCTGTGTGTAAAAGCCTCTCTGTGTAAAAGCGTCTGTGTGTAAAAGCGTTTGTGTGTGAAAGCGCGTGTGCGTGTGTAAAAAGCATCTGTGTGTAGAAGCGTCTGTGTGTAAGAGCGTCTGTGTGTAAACGCGTCTGTGTGTAAAAGCGTTTGTGTGTGAAAGCGTGTGTGCGTGTGTAAAACGCATCTGCGTGTAAAAGCGTCTGCGTGTAAAAGCGTCTGTGTGTAAAACCGTCTGTGTGTAAAAGCCTTTTTGTGTAAAAGCTTTTGTGTGTAAAAGCGTCTGTGTGTA